TCTTTTAGAAAAGTAAAGTAAAATTTTGTACGGCTACTTGGCAACCCATCAGTCTGCTGATTCTGAAGCAAAACAAACTCTATTTTCTTGTGATATCGTCTAATTCAATATCTCGAGAATTTCTAAAGCAAACACGACAGGCTCGAGTACAACACTATTTTAGAAGAAAAAAACTACTGTAGACAAACCTAGAAGCATTGAAAGTGCTGGATACACATTAAAAAAATTGACAGTCGTTGTGATAGGAATTAGGCCCGAAAATTTGGGGTGAGAAACTGAATTTTGGTGTGAGAAGTTGAAGAGTCTTCACTCTTCAAGAAAAGCTTAAGGAGAGAGCAGTTAACGGTAACTGGGCATATCTGACACGCCTCTTTTTCCTTATATTTCTACTTTATATTTTATATCGTCTTTAATGAAGTATTATTTTTAATTTATTAAATCTCCCACAAACAATTTTTTCAATATATTTTCGAAAAATTAAAACTAAAGCAGAACTTTATCTTAAAGAGCAAAAAGGGTAGAAGTGATTAACTACCTTTGTATTTTCACTTTTCACCATAGAGTTTTACTTGTAAAAACATTTTCAATAATTGAACTAATCTGCTCATTTTAGAGAAAAAAAGGAGACGATAAATGAGCCGGAGCATCTTAGCTTAAAAGAAAGAAAAAGATTATAGCAGACTCTTAGTTGTCATATACTACCGTAGCATTTTAAATAATATTGATGCTTATAGTGAGAGTTTCGCACCTAGGAAAATAATCCTATTTCACGTGTGCAATCACAGAAATGATGTGTTTTTGTCATTCATCAATAGAAACAGTAAAAGTTAATCCAATGTTTTCTCCCAAACAGTAGAATTTAATAGAAACAGTTAATGGACCAACCTCAAGATGGTTCTCTTCACGGCCGCCAATAAAAAAGCAGAGTTTAGATTTCGAAATGTCAAAATTGGGCGCTAACTCCAATCAAACTGATTGACACATATCTTAGGAAGTCGTTAAATTCAAAATGTATGGTCAGTTGTTGAGTCTATGAGTGAGGCTGCATTTGAAAATAGTACAACTGTGAAGCACTATAGAGACATAAATTGTCCATATCATGATGCCAAACGCACACTTCTATCAGAAATTAAAAGAGGAAACGTTGCAAGAGTTATTGTCAAAGTGGAGCAACAAACTTGAAAGATGAATTGGGTGATTGGAGAAAGTGGATTGTAGCTAACGCACAAATTTAAATCTCTGCTCAATGTTGTTGAATTGTATCAGCAGATAAAGGCAGCAATATGTCACAGTTTAGTTATACTCTTTCAGAAGCAGAGCACTTCTCCCATTTGTCATTTCCTGTTTTATTGAGAATAATGTTGGCAGCTATAGAACTTGTACATTTATAGTAACTTCTTGTTGCTATATAGTGAATTTACTTCTTCTATTAAAAAGTAAAACTACACCGGAAGCCAAAAATATCACGAGCAAAGACAATATCACAATTCTAAATGACCAGAAATATATGAAACTCGAGAATTAGTAATTCAACCACAATCATACTCTATTTAATATAAGACATATTTTAAAATGCATTCCTCGGAGGATAACCTATTAAAGACTAAATAAATAGAGATTAGCTTCAGTTCTCACCCTTCAACCTGCAGTTACTTTCAGAAACTCCTCTAAATTCAAAGAAATGAGATGTAAAAAAAATATATAAATAGGCTAAAGAAGTCTGAAAACTGACTTTAGCAAAATTTCATCTTAATCCTCATAAACTGTCCTAAATGTAACTGGACTTATAACTTCTAAGATGCATGTTATCCCTTTTCATGGTCTTCCTCTCGTTTATTCATAAAAAAAGTCTCTGGCAATTAAAGAAAGACTGAATGAATAATAGAATTGCAGAAAATTTAGGTATCACACGAAGAAAAATGTGCTCTTAAATATTTCCACAAGCAAAGGTTAGGCATAAAAGAAGGCAAAATCAGTAGTGAGGATGACTAAATAACTCTTTTGATGTCATGTGTGTAAGCTGGTTCAAACTGTATGGATTAAATTGTTCAGAAATCAAGATTCAGCAGCACATTCATTCAACGACGATTAGTTGAAATAACTAATGTCTTGCATTACAAAATATTAACAGAATGATTAACAATAATTTAGGTTACGTACGTATGTTTACGAAATATTTTTGGCAACAAAATAAGATTAACAGGATTATGCTTAGGTACATTAGGCCGATCAACAGGACATGATTTTAGAACACATATTCGAGCACCTGAAAGTTCTCTAGAAAACTATTAATCTGCGTCACTGCAAATCATCTTCATAGGGTAGTCATAATATGGCAGACCACATAAATATGGTATGAAATATTCCTCTCTCTTTCAGTTCAAAATTGCCCTTTTTACAATTCTAAGATATTTCATAATTAAAAATTTTACTGAAATTGATTCGACTTTTTGAAGTGTGATATTCGATATATACTGTTGTCATGACATGAATTGTTAATCATACTTTCAAAAACAGAAACAGAAATACTGCAGAGAAACGGAACTTTAAAACTAAGTGAAAGTTGAATATGTTACCTTCGAATCCTTTAAAACCAATTCCACTGAATAAAGTAATTCAGGCTTAAATCAATCCGAAATTACCCACATTCAAACGACTCTAACTTTGGGATTCCATTGCATTGAGTTGCTTGAGATTTCTCTGATTTCATGAAATTGCCTAGCCATATTTGCAAAGCAGTTGTAAGCACACTGGTATAGTGAGTAGAAAAAATAGGGATTTGAAGATATAAAGAGCATAAACCAATCAGTTATGGAGGTGTAGATAAAATAGGAATTTTCGGTTGGAAGCCCACGTTTGGAAGCACGATCGGTCGTGGTTCATCCTCCGACGGCTTTTTTTTTTTAATTTTTATTTATAAAAATAATTGCAAATTTGAGTGTGTAGTTTTTTTATTTTAAAACAGCCAAAAAAAAGTGGGAGGAATTTTTTTTATTTTTAATAAAGCTGTGTAATAAATAAATAAATAGAATAACTGTCAAAATGTTGGAGGAAGTATAAAATTATTTTGAGATTTGCAGATTGCAAGTTAATTTCCTGATTTGTAGTTTAAATCAATTTTAAACTCCAACATTCTTGGACATTTGTCCTAAAATTTGACATGTGTTGAATTGTGGTTATTCCACTTGGCAACCTATCATAGTTTTGCTTTTGTTATTCTATATAGATAGATATACCTTCTAATCAAAACAAGTGTTCTAATCCCTTCTAATTGTAACAAAGCTTATTTGACATTGTGGACGTTTTAGTGTTGTATTCAGGTTTATGGGATGGTCTCTTATTGTGCTCAAATTGTAGAAAATTTACATACTTGTTTAGTAACTGGGCCCCTACTCTGTTATTTTATATATATATATATATATATATATATATATATATATATATATATATATATACTATATTAAAAGTGAGAAACTCTTAAGTTAAAAGTCGAATTACTAAAATGCCCTCCACTTAAACACTACTCTTATAATATTTTTATGCAAAAATGTAATATATGTTTTAACCTAACTATCCTATTTATTTTTTACCTCAAGTTTTTACTTTTTTCCCTTTATTTTAATTTATTTTATATGATATTTTGAAAAATCCAAAAGCCACCTCTGTAAAAGTTGGGTTTAGACAATGCGAAAAGTCGCAACTACTATAGAAACGAGTAATTAGAGAAACATTTTCCTTACAATCTTTAACGCCTCATCAATTTCTTAAAACAAATTTTTTTACGACTAATATAACTTAATACTAATTCTATTACTGTATTCATTGTACATTACAAAACTACAGCTAAAGCATTTAAGTCACTCAAGGGGATTCCGAGCAACCTCCTGTGATTTTTTTACATGATAGTTAGATCTATAATTATTTATTTTCCTAATACAATTCATATCTCCTTTCTGTTTGTGAAAGAAATATTCGGTTGCCAAGGAAATGTTCGCCCAGATAAACTTTATCTCAAGTACAAATGGAAGCTTGCTGTATGTGAATTGCTCAAGTGCTTAGCATCAATTTTTACGTATATCTTATGGTATTTTAATTGCACTAACATCCTCTTAGAATTTCTTTTTCCCTTTTGTCTTTGACTTCTCTAACAGATCTGAAGGACTGAATTTTCTGATCAAGAGGGTAAAAGGGAAGAGGATAATGTTCGTGGGACTCTTTGAGCCTTTAAGCAATGGCCATCACACACATGCATGTAGCATGTGAAAAAACGAGTTACAGGAAAGGAGCATATGAGGTTTCATATCCCGAAAATCTTTGTCTACCGTAGAAATCGATATGTAGTCATAGTTAATGTAACTATCAGTTTAATATCATATTTCAATTAGACATCTTTTACTTCTAATTATTTTGATGCATGTTGATATTCTCTATAATTGTGTCTATATAATATTTGGAGCGCAAAAGTTTGATTTCTAATGTTATATATGATCGTGCTTCTATTTTTTTTCCATTGCAAAGACAAAGAAAAATATTTTTATAATTGGATCTGCCATTGGTCCAGTGACTCTGATTACGTTTGATCAGGCAAGCAACAAATAATTCTGTGGATCTAAATTGATTTGAGATAGAATCGAAGACGGTGCACTCTAATAATGCGCAAAAATCCCTATTGTATGGTATTCTTTCCTTTTGGTCTCTTTGTATAAATGATTTTATATTTAAAACAATTTCAACTCACTTTTTAAGTGGCTTTCCGGCCATTATTTATCTATAAAATAATATATGTATGAACTTGAGACTCTTTTGGGATTAAAAAAAAAAAAGATAAATAGTAATTTCGCTAAGTTGAATAACCATTTGGGAAATTAACTCATTGCCTACTTGTATCATATTTTCCGTTGAATTATCTTGCTTGATTTCGTCATTGGATTATTTTCAATATTCTACAACACCAACCCCTTTGAATCGACCTTGGCCTCAAGGCTGGGATGAAGTGTCAATTTGTATATTAATTCTCTTTCTTGATTCTCTTATGTCATCAGAAGATGACTAGGTGAGTTCTAACAATTGTATAGCAACATTGATTTTGCAAGGGTGACTTTGATACATAGATGTTGACGTCCCATAGGGAGAAAAAACAACCATTCTCTTTTAGTGGAAAGAATAAGGATATAATCAAACTCGCAACTTCCCTGCCTGCACTTAGGCAATTTCTAACATTCAGCAGTCAGCAAGTGCAATAAGCTGATCAACCACACTAGGATCTGCTAATGTACTTGTATCCCCAAGCTCATCTAAGCTCTTGGAAGCAATTTTCCTCAATATTCTTCTCATTATTTTCCCACTTCTTGTCTTTGGAAGTCCCGGTGCCCAATGGATCTTGTCCGGCGCAGCAAAAGCTCCAATCTGACATATGATATTTAAGCTCTATTAATTATTCATGCAGTCTTGAGTGATTTGCAAAAGTTATTGTAAACATCATTATCCAATCTTGTGAGGTTAGTCTTGTTACACGATCAGTGAAGTTTAACCTTTTATAGCAGGTCGGTTATCATTTTGATTGAGTTACCAATGCAGGTATATTATAGAAACTTACTTGTAATTATCTCCTGAGTTACATGATTTAAGCTCAATGTTGGTGCATTGAGCTTCAACTCATTAGTATATGAAGCTAAGGGTTCAGTCCCATTAAGAGCAACTCAAAAGATTGAATCTGCATCAACATATTTAACAAGACAAAATCATACCTTTTCTCTCACAACCTTTATAAGGCTTTTTCTTAGTTCCTCGCTATATGGAACACCTTCGGTCAAGGTAACAAATGCGTATATCCCCTGTCCTTTAACCTGACATAACATTTTCAAAAACAGGATTAGACTTCTGAAAAAATTGCGATAATCAATCCTTATGTAGCACACAAAGAATGAGGGTACCTCATGTTCCACACCAACTACAGCAGCTTCAACACACTGAGGATGTGAAACTAGAGCTGATTCTACTTCAGCTGTGCCAATTCTGTGTCCACTGTTGCAATGCATTTGAATGTACAATTAATGGGCAAAGTGAAAAAAATTAAGTAATTTTTTTATTACCCCTTTTCTCCTACAAAAAGATTGTCTTTCTTTTTTGTGCTCCGTTCCAAACTTCCCTAGGTTGGATCTAATTCTCTATAGTATAATGTTATCTTCAGTACTCTTAGTTCTCCTACTGGGTAACATTGAAACAAATAAATTGGATAAGGAATTAGAAGGCAAGAAATAAAATATGAAAAGTACATACATATATATAAGGTGAAGGAGAATAATACCTGACGTTAATAACATCATCTACTCTGCCAGTGAGCCAATAGTAACCATCTTTGTCCCTAAATCAAGAGTTTATACATGAATATGATCACTGAAATTCCAAGTTATACAGCAAACATGGAATTAAATTTTACTGTAAAGTTCTAAATGTTCAAAATATTGACACGAGCAGGACTATAGCAGGCAGAAAATTACCTATTGCAGCCATCACCAGTAAAATAATATCCAGGGAAAGCACTAAAGTATGTGGTCTGATATCTTTCATGATCCCCATAGAGTGTTCTGAATGCCGAAGGCCATGAGCTTTTCACACATAAATATCCACTGCACTCACCTTCTAGCTCAACACCCTTCTCGTCCACTATTACCGGCTGCAATCATAATATTACAAGCATCAACATCATAATATCATGGAGGAAAGGGAAATGACCATTGATTTAATAGTGGTCTTTTCATTTTTTGGGAAATTCAGGGGGGAAAAAAAGCAAGACAATCATTTCGGAATAAGAAAATTTATATGATTCTAAACATAGTGGTAATCTTTAATAGGTCCTGTTATAGTACCTGGACACCAAAAAATGGTAATGTAGCAGAGCCAGGTTTCTGCGGCCAAGCTCCTGGTAATGGTGTAATCTGCAAGGCAACGATTAAGATCCTAATTAGGCGATTAATGTGTGAAAAAACCTAAAATGATAGATTATATGGACCAGAAATGATTGGATGTTAGGTTATAAAAAGCCATTTTCTAACATGTTTCTTTTTCTTACGATTGGGTAATTAGACAGGTATATAGGAAGAAAGAATATGATACAAAGATAAAAAGTAAATTGAAATACCATGAAGCCTCCAGTTTCTGTTTGCCACCATGTGTCGGATATAGGACATCTTCCGTCTCCTACGACATTGAAAAACCACCTGCCCCACAACATAAATAAATGTTGTAGTTAACTATTTCTTAAAAGTTCTCATATTCAAAGAAAATTAATACAAAATAAAAGATCTGTATATAGGAAAAGATAGAAACCTCCATGCGCTCGGATTGATTGGCTCACCAACACTTCCCAGCACCCGCAAAGATTTTCTTGAATACCGAGTGACATACTGCAAATACATTTATGACAAATGTTTTCATGAATACAGAGAGACATATCACAAATACATTTCATGAAGTAAAAAAGTGAAACAAAAAAGATCATTTATACACTAGTATAGACATTTGCTTGAGTTGGCAAGAACCCTTAGATATCAAGCTCATGCACCCTAAATATTTTGAGGTAAATGTGTTCTTACAACAGTTTTTCTACTTAAAGATTACAATCTACTGTTTAATCTGGTATATCGCCTTGTGAAGGCTTCCATGTTCACTTTCCATCTCTAAAGGTGTGTTGGGTACGAAGGAAAATATTTTCCTAGAAAATGTTTACATGAAAAATGAGTGGTTTTATCGCTTATTTTCCCTTGTTTGGTTGGTGAGTGAAAAACTTTTTCCGAAAAATATTTTCTAGTGTTCGGTTATAGAGAGTAGAAAATAACTTTTTATGCTACTCCCCCTCCCCCCAAATACCCAATGTTTTTAGGACTCTATTTCTTCAAGAATTTAATTTTTCCTTTAAAATCCACACAAACCCAAAGGAACTAATCTGTTGCTTTACTTTTTTTACGCAAAAACAACGTTGAAATTTGTGCTCCATAACTAAAAAGAAATACTCTTTTTTGATTGAAAAAGAAAGTACTCTTTCTACAACATGAAAAAAAAAATCAATGCTGCTTGATTGAACGAACATTGTAAGAGCCATCGAGATCTTTACGTAAAATATAAGCATTACAATAAATTCAAAGCCATGAACAAAGGGGATTGACTGAGAAGTAGAGCTAAGCGAAGGAGGGCTTTGGGAAAAGAGCAACTCGAAAGTACTTTACTTCGGTCCCAGGTCGAGAAAAAGAACCGCGCTAGTCGGAATTTGGGGAAAGATGAGCCGAGATTTGAAATATGTGGGCCTTCATCGCCTTGAACTCATTCTTAAGCACTTGCAGCGGCTGGCTTTTTTTCTTACGATATTTAGTAAGGCTAGGTTCAATAGAGACTCAGAAGAGCGGATCCAATACCAAGACGCTTGAGAGAAAAGGCTAGCCTTTTTGTTAAAATATTTTTACTAGCTATATCATTTTGTTTAAATAAAAGAAAATACTTTTCACGACATCATTTTGTTGAAATAAAAGAAAATATTTTTTACTAGCTATATCATTTTGTTGAAATAAAAGAAAATACTTTTTGCTTCATCATTTTGTTGAAATGAAAGAAAGAAAATAATTTTTCTACATCATAAAAAGAAAGTACTTTTTTTGTTAAAATGAAAAGAAAATACTTTTTTATATCATGAAAAGAAAATACTCATTTGTTGAAATAAAAAAAAAGTACTTTATCGATAGCATGAAAATAAAGTATTATCAATACTATTTCTATTTAAGGTGGGGGCGGGGGTAAGGGCAGGGGCGGGGGTGGGTTGGTGGGGATGGGGAATAGGGTGGGGAAGTTTGAAAAATAGTTTTGGAAAATATTTTCCCAATATTTTCCTCCAATTGGAGGAAAATGAGTTCATGAGGAAAATATTTTCCAAACCATTTAAACCAACCAAACATGGAAAAATTGAAAAACATTTTCTAAAAAATATTTTCCTTTATACCAAACACACCCTAAATCATATCAAAGTGTTTGGTTGTCTTTGCTATGCAACCAAATCAAGCTATTCTAATAAGTTCTCTTCCAAAGTAATCCTTGTTGTTATGATGGGATATTCATATAAGTTGTTTAATATCTCTACAGGATGCTTCTTTGTGATTAGAGATGTGTCCTCCAGAGAATCAGTCTTCCCTTTAAAGTTTCCCATGCACGTTTTTACAACCAATGCAGTCTGGTACATCTCCATATTTTCCCCCTTCTTCATCCATACCTACTATTGTTGTTGATGATACTTTCCCTTCTATTTCTCCTATTCTATCTCTTGCACCTTCTTCTAGCGACCAAGATATTAGCAATGCACTTAATTCAGATAATGCTTCCCAGAGACGGAGCTAGGATTGAACCTTATGGGTTCAGGATTATAATCCTTTTAAGTTACTGGGTTCTAAATTAATAATTTGTACATATTTTTTGGATTTTTTAATACAAATACAGGGTTAAAATAAAAGTTACTGGGTTCGGTCGAACCCGCAACCAACACTTTGGCTTCGCCCTGCATACATCTACAGATACATCTATTTCTCATCATGACTCTATGGATACATTGCCGATTCCTATCCAACCCTTGAGAAGGTCGAATAGGCCTTCTAAATCCACAATCTGGCTCACAGGTTCAGCGCATATCAACTATTCTTATATTTTCCCTACTTATAGAGCTCTTTTATCTAAACCTTCTTCAGTTCCTGAGCCTACTTCCTATGAACAGCCAGGTACTGGCAGTACTAGGTTCAAGCTATGAAACACGAAATTCAAGCACTAATTGACAATCATACTTGGAAATAGTTGATTTACTTGCAGATAGAACTCGTATTAGATGAAAGTGGGTGTAATGGTAGCGTAGCAAGATTCAAAGCAAGACTTGTAGCTAAGGGTCTACACAGCCGGAATGTTTACATTATCACGAGTCCTTCTCACCTGTTGTGAAAATGGTCACAGCAAGATGTGTCATCTCTTTAGCTGCTAAATTTTCTTGGCCCCTTTTCCATATGGATGTCCACAATGCATTCCTTTAAGGTGACTTAGTAGAGGAAGTTTCCATGGTTATTACCACAAGGTTTTGGTAGCCAGGGGGAGCACAAGGTGTGTAGGCTACTCAAAGCCTTATATGAATTGAAGCAGGCAAGCAGACAATGGAATTTGAAGCTTACCTCTGCATTAATACAGTCTGATTTTTTACTAAGCAAGCTTGACTACTCACTGTTTACCAAGAATGTGAAAATGACATTGTGATTGTATTGGTGTGTCATGTATGTGGATGATCGTTTGATCACAGGCAGTAGCATGAAACTGATTCAGAAAGCAAAAGACATACTGAATCATAACTTCAAATTGACTGACTTGGGAGAATTAGTATTCTTATGAAGCAAGGAGATATGCCTGGAGGCTTATCTCAGAATGTGGCTTAGGGAGAGCACAGCTAGCTTCTACACCCTCGGAACAGAATCAGAAATTTACAAGTATTGAGTTTGATAAGCACATAGGTATAGAAGATGACAAGGATTTAGCAAATCAAAAAAGTTACAGGAAACGTCTATGAAAGTTAACAAGACCAGATATTTCTTTTGCAGTACGGAGCTTAAGCCAGTTTATGCATGCTCCAAAAGAATTACATTGCTTGTGGCGAGATATGTTAAAGGATGACCAAGTTTGGTATTCTTAATGAGTAGCAGGTGTTCAGATATGTGCATATTGTGATGCAGAGTGGGCTTCATGTGAGGCCAGTGACAGGCTATTCTGTTAAAATGGGAGATTCCTTGATATCTGGGAAGTCTAAAAAACAAAATACAGCCTCTAGAAGTTCAGCAAAAGCTGAATATAGAAGCTTGGTAGCAACAACAGCTGAGTTGAATTGGTATGAATCCATGGTCAGGTGAAGGAGTCAGGACTGAAAGTTGAACTGCGGACTGCCAATGGAGTTCATTATGATAATAAGGCAGCCTAACAAATTGCTTCGAATTCAATGTTTCATGAGCGCATAAACCATATAAAAATTGATTGTCACTTTATTAGAGAAAGATTGCAACAAGGATTGATCAAAACAATCTATGTGACAAGCAAAGAGCAGGTTGCAGACATTTTTGACTTAAGAAATTAGGGAAGCAACTACATATTGAGTTAGTGTCCAAGTTTGGGGATGGTACATTTTCCATCACCCAGCTTGAGGGGAGTGTTGAAATACATGTAGCTGTAGTGATGCATTATAACTGAATTAAGGGATTAGTTAGTTAAGCAAAGTTAGTTTGGAGCAGTGTTCAAAAAAGCGACCGCTTCCTCGCTTTAAGCGAGAAGCGAAGCGGAGCGCCGGGTCTGTCGCTACCTGTACCAAAAGCGACTCAGGTACCTAAAAGCGGTCGCTTCTACCAAAAAATCGAGAAGCGGAAGAAGCGGAAGAAGCGATCGCTTCTTGAAATAAAAGCCCAAACGTGTCTTTTTCAATTAAAAGACCCAAAATCGAGTGAGTCTCTGTTTTAGTCATTCTTCAGCAGCAACCTAGGGTTTTAAACCAGCCCTTTCTTCCTCAAAAAACCAACGATTTCTTCCTCACATGAAGCAACGATTTGTTCAAGCAAACTAGGGTTCTTCTTCTTCTTCTTCAACATTACAACAAGTCAACAACAGCTTTCAAGTTTCAACAGGTATGTTTTTATTTTCATTCTTCTTCTTCTTCTTCTAATCTTGTTCTTCTTCTTCTTCTTTTTCTTTTTCTTTTTCTTTCTAAACGTCCAAAAAGCGCCGAAATGCTGGTGAATTTTTTCCAGAAAATTTCTGCCCCGTTTCTGCCCAAATTCTGCCCAGATTCTGCTTACAATTACATGTGTTGTCTATCCGTATTTATTTTAATTTGTTTTTAAAAAATTCCGCTTCACTTCAAAAAAGTGGGCGTTTCGCTTCCCGCTTCTCGCTTTTCGTGAAATGGGGGTTGTCGCTTTTCCTCGCTTCACGCTATTTTTAACACTGGTTTGGAGGTTAGCTGAAGTAGTTTGGTCATTAGCAGTTAATTATTTCAGCTTATTAGTCTTTGTATATAAACAGAAAGGTCTACACGTGAAAAGACTATTGAAGATATTTTCTCATTTTCACTCTTCTAGAACTTACTTCCTCCTTTCTCTTCTAACTGAGATTTCCCCTTTTTCTTAGCTCAAGATCTGTTCCCTTTCCTTTTCAATATATACAATTGATAAACCTACCTGTAGGCTGTAGCTATATAATTCTCAAATGATTTGGGAATTACACAATCTTAACACATTCTGTAAAAGTATTCAATAAGTTCTTTGAAATTCTAGGAGACTTTAATAGCATCAATGGTGATGGTCATTTCTTTTAAGTTTAACCATATGGTATTCGGAATCCACTATCCTAACTAATTCAGATTCGCCGTAAACTTATTTAAGGGGGAAGCGCTCCCTACCATAAAATTTTCGGTTTCAGGGCTCGAACCTAAGACCGTTGGTTAAGGATGGAAGGATACAATCCATCCCACCACATCACGTGGTGGTATTAATTATTTTATTCTACCACTATGTACAACCAACAAGTTGTATATTACTTGAACTATTGACCAATAAAATGAAATACAAGTATAAAATTGTTGGGCTGTACACCCTTACCTCATCTCCCTCGCGCATGAGAGACCTTACTAATGTGGGAGCAGTATAAAAAATTGAAACCTTGTACTTATCAACAATATCCCAACAACGTCCAGCATCTGGATAGTTTGGAGCCTGCAATTATGAACAATTTTCAATTAAAAAAAATGATTTTCTCATGGACAATATTTTCCTGAAAAATTATCTCAAGTCTTTCTGCAATAAAGGTCAAGGTTATTTGTTCACTTAGTTAGGGTCTATCTGCTAGAGTTGTTTTATTTTACTAGCAACAAATACCTACTTCTACAACTTTGGCAACAGAATTATTAAAGAATGAAGAAAAATAATTTACCCCTTCAAAAACCACATTAGTTGCTCCATTTAACAAAGGTCCATAGGTAACGTAGCTATGTCCAGTAATCCAACCACAGTCAGCTGTACACCTACAAAACACATCAAAAAATAATTACCTAAAATATATCAATAAGGAAGAAAAGAATTGGAAATTGATGTGGCCTAATAACCAAAGCAGGAAATAGGAATTTGATTTTGGTAAATCTCTACTGCTTTTTGGCCCTATTAGATGAATTCTTGCTGGTGACTCTATGCAAAGCAAATGGCTTTTACTTATTGAAACGTAAAAGGAGTTCTAAGTCATTTTTAAGTGAGAAGATTGCAACGGTAAAATATATTTTTAAAAAAATAAGTGGTTTGCTTACTTATTCTAATGTTTGGTTAGGCAGCAAGAAATTATTTTTGAAAAATATATAACTTAGGCAAGTACTATACGAGACGAAATAGATTGGGGGTTTGGGGGGGGGGGGGGGGGTAGGGTCGGTGGTCTAGGGACCTGAGTGATTGATGGGCCTGAGGGGTGGGGTGGGTGAGGAAGGTTGAAAAAAAAATTTGGGAATTATTTTTTCTACTTTACATCTATATACGTAACTCAAATTATCCAGTTGTTAAAGGTATTGAAGGAAGAATTGGCTTGAACATACCAATAAATGTCTTTCGATTTGTAGTCAAATGCATACTTGAACGTTAGTATTCGTGAACACAGATCACTCGTGTCTTGTCTTTTTGGATCTATTGCAAAATAAAATAAGATGCAATTTTTATTTCCAATTCTACATCGAAAAATCAGCCGTTGATCACATGAAAAGCGTAAAAGTGAAATCAGGTAACAACTCTAACAGGCTGCTATTTAGGAATTAACTAATGTATTATAAATTTCAGTTTGTCAATTCAATTTTTCGGGACACAAATATTGTAAATTGTCCTGAAATTAAAATTTTCAGTTCAAAATTTCAAGACAAAATAAGTATTGGCTAATCCTTGCATAGCATTCCTAAGAATAGTTATTTGTGCACTTCGCCAGTGAAAGCTATGNGGTGAGGAAGGTTGTAAAAAAAAAATTTGGGAATTATTTTTTCTACTTTACATCTATATACGTAACTCAAATTATCCAGTTGTTAAAGGTATTGAAGGAAGAATTGGCTTGAACATACCAATAAATGTCTTTCGATTTGTAGTCAAATGCATACTTGAACGTTGTCGCAGTGTATACCATATATCCCCCGGTTGTATGAAGAACACCCTTAACATCAACTTAAACTCATCAAAATACTGAAATATATAAGAGAACAATTACTCCAAGAAATTGAATTCACCTTAGGCTTTCCAGTACTGCCACTAGTGTATAGCAAGAAAAGTGGATCTTCTGCATCAACCCATTCCACCTCACATGTAACTGGATATTTTGGAACTACATCCTGGAATAATACAATTAAGTCGGATTTTAAATGATTAATAAGAATCAGCAAAAATTGCATTTTGGTTCATGTTTTATATTCTTTTTTTTTTTTTCAATCGTTTAGGAGTCATAAGTTCTAATAGTAATAGTGTAAATTCCATCCATGGGTGATACCCGAACTAATGATTTATTACACATAATTATCTTAGCTAAATTTTGTGACGAGATACACCTAAACTATATATACCTACACAAAACAAAAGTAAGATCCACCAGAAAATATTAGCATTAATTCCTTACTAAATATTCCCAATATAGAACATATACTAACTATTTAAAACCTGATAACCTATACTCCATCTCAAAAAAAAAAAAAAAAAAAAAAAAAAACCTATATAAAAGGTTGAGTTGGTTTGTACAAACCTGCCACCAAATATCTCTTCCTTCAACCCATTTAGTCACTTCCTTCTTTAATGCTGATTCATTCTCAAAAGTCAAACACACATCTACAAGGGAGAAAAAGAAAAACTGAAATTAGAAAAATAGATGGAGGGAAAGTAAAAAGAGTAGAGACTGGCAAGGATCTTCAAAGTCTTAATGTTTATCCATGAGCCTGTATTGTTAAGAGTGGTCTAGTTGTAGTTGCTATGAGATTCTAGTTTTTTTCTCGTACATATTTTTACTTGGTAAATAAAAGTATTGTTTACCAAAAAAAAAAAGAGTAGAGACTTCGTGAGGACTCTGTTCAAAATTTGGACTTGATGGATTTTGTTTTAAAAGTTTTGCGTTAGCTAAATTTTTTATGTTTTTCACATATATACTGAACTAACCCGTAATAAGTATTTATTATGTTTATTTACTGACCTATATTGATGCCATTTTGGGCAGATTCAGTTAAGGCTGCATCAACAATATCTTTGAGAAAAATAGTCTTGGGTCCTCTCCTAACTGCATTGCATGTTATGACAACCTTAGGTTTGCAATCCATAATCCTCTGAGCAATAGATTCTGCTGAGAACCCCGCAAACACTACCTGTAGTAAACATACAACTTGGATTAGTTGTAATTTCTTCAATTTCTTTTATACTCAGTTACTCACTGATATAGTTTTACACTATCAATGCAATTTAACTTGTCGTAGAAAATTACTTGCTTTATTTTCAAGTTTACCATAGTTTTATATATTATGGGCAATCATATTTAATTGCCATTAGGATGACAGTATAATGTAAAATGGTTTTTACACTTTTAATGTAAGAAATTAAATCCGTTAAGTATTACTCCCTCCGTTTCAATTTATGTGAACCTATTTCCTTTTTAGTCCGTGCCAAAAAGAATGACCTCTTTCCCTATTTGAAAACAAACAATGATTTATAGCCACACAAAATATATGTGCTTCATTTTACCCCACAAGTTCAAAAGTGTATTTGTTGTATGAGAAGTTGGTTGTGTAAATTACAGCTAATTTTCCCCGTTTATGGATATTACAATGCGCCATTACCATCCCTCTAGCTTTACTATTTTGTATTGATGTTCCATCTTATTTCAACGGCATAAGAAATAAGAGAGACCTCCTTCCATTTTTGGGATATCGCACTATGTTAAAAAGTAGCTTTTGATTATTAACCTCACAGAGAAAAGTATCTTTTAATAAATATTTTCCTTGAATTAAAATTTACCCACCAACATAAAAAGAAATGTAAAAGAATCATTCAACCAATTTTATTTGTTTGGACATAAAATAGAAGATAAAAAAAGTCCAACCTTTCAATTAAGAAAAAGTTAATAGGACATGTTAAATCACAAATTTATAAACTTCGTAAGAATTTGGAAAACAAATTGAGGAAAGTGGGACAAAAATTGCACGGATACCAAAATAAAAGACCTACCATGTTAAGAAACAAATGATTTTTCTAAAACTTGTTTCGTTTGGATTTATTTATTCGTCCTGTTTGATCATTTATATTACGAAAAATGTTTAGTAGTCACAATCAAGCCTACTAAACTTATATGCTGCGGTGGATCTGAGCTGTTTGGCTATTATATAAATCAAACATGAAGTAGCCAACTGACCCTTTTTGTCCTTGAAGAATAGATAAGTAACTATTTTAACTGATATTCTGTTCTAAATAAATTATAAATATTCCGATGCTTTTGTGTAATTCTTTCTAAATAAATTGTTTTTATTATCGATAAATTAGAAGAAAAATAGCTATAAATTACCCAACTATTACTTTTTAACAGAAAAAATAAAAAGGAATTATACATTACCGAGTGAATAGCACCAATTCGAGCACAAGCAAGCATAGCAATAGGAAGCTCCATAAGCATTGGCAAGTAAATGATAACTGCATCACCCTTTCCAACTCCAATATCTTTCAAGTAATTTGCTAGCTGTTGCAAAAGAAAAGAAAATAAAATTTTCTATCAGGACAAGTTTGTTAAGACAATAACTCAACGTTTCATTGGTTTTCTCATCATTGTGTTTATACATTTTCTAGATCTTTTTTATAGACAAGCCACCTATCACGGGTTTGGAAAATCACTATCCCTCAATGTGACCTATAGGTCATGGATTCGAGCCGTGGAATCAGCCACTGATGTTTGCATCAGGGTAAGATGCCTACATCACACCCCATTGGGGTGCGACTATTCCTCGGACCCTGCATAAACATGGGATATTTTGTGCACTGGACTACCCGATGTAGCATTTTGACACTAAATATGACAGGTTTAATTATATCTACAATGTTAACAAACAAATTTTGCAATAGATAACCTGCCATTGCAGGTCATATTTGTATATTTGAGATGGTAAAAAAATTCATTAATCAATGAATAGAAGTTAAACTCAAATTACATTAATTAGTTTGAAGAAAATGAAAAGAGAAGTAAATGAAAAGAGAAATTAAGAGTGAAAGAAAGATGAAAAGAGAAACCTGACAAACTCTGGCCAATAATTGGTTGTATGTGAGAGTGGCATCATGACCAGGTTCATTTCCTTCCCAGTAAATTGCAATTTTGTCACCATTTCCACTTTTTATGTTTCTATCCAAGCAGTTGTAGCATATGTTTGTTTTACCACCTTTGAACCACTGTTGTCAACCACATGAGATATTTTACTTAATAATAATAATAATACAAAATATTTCCTGCACAACATTTATAGAAGGCTAATTAATAGCATACTAATTTATTTTGAAACGTCTGGTCCATTATCTTATCAAAGTTCTATAGAAATACAATGAGATCTTCCCAAAAATGAAATCAGACAATAACAATTTGAGAAATCAATAAGGCAAAAAAGAAGACTTCAAAAATATTTAGGGTAAGTAATAAACATGACATTTTCTTGGGGTGAAAATTGTTTACATTCCCCAAGTTTGCTTTAGAAACCAAACTCATCCTCCAACTTTGAACAATTACCATTCTACTCCTCATATCAAAGGTGACTTCTTAAAATACCTATTTTACCCTCTATAATTTTTGTCTCTTATTTTATTTTTTAGTATAATGATATTTTTTATTTTAATTTATGTTATCGGCTTACCTATAGACAAACTAAAAAACATTTTTGAAACCAACAAAAGTGAGAAGCCGTAGTCAAGCATATAAGTTAATGATGTTCAATAGTGAAATAAATGAGAAAAATAAAAAATTACTATAAATAATTTACTCGCATCAATAATTTTATTAGTAGCAATCGAAACTCAATAATTTACAAATTTGAAAATAAAGGAGAATAAATTTTTTAGAAATTATATAATGCAGGTAATAAAAAAAATAATGGGTGTAAAGTAGAGGTAAATTTTATACTAATAAGTTTACAAAAATTATCTATTTACACTTTACATGAATTTTAATTATAATTTAGAAAAAATCTAGTAATAACAATGAAAACTCAAAAATTTCTATACACATAGGGAATAATAAAAATAGTGAAACTTAAAATCACACATACACACACCAATATACATTATATGCATTTTAATATTATATATTAAAATAATAATAATAATAAAGTAGCAAAACATTTTATAATAAATTCATAATATAATTATCTTATGTATAATGTTAGTGAACTTAGATTAAATTATATAATAAGATACAATATTTTTAACTTATGTATAAATACATGCATTAAAATATATCTAAATAATATAAAAAGGTATTACATATATGGAGAGTTGAAAGTGTCAAGGGTAAAATGGATATTACGTAGAATGAAAGGATGAAAATAACAATTCTTCAAAGTTGGTGAATGAGTTTGATTTTTAGAGTAAACTTGGGGGATGTAAATGATTTTCACCCTATTTTCTTGGGAACTAATTTCAATGTCTAAAATTAGGTTCTATGTCATTATTGCGTGAGGGTTGTGCAATGAGTTATTTATGGATGAAGTGGATGATCGTAAATAGACACCGACGTAATAATTTAATAGCTTATTATAGCAAGTACTCTATCACTATTTGAAAATCATATTTTATTTTATTTTTGTCATAAGCCCCGTCTATATCTTTAGAGACTATTTAATTGTATATTTTTATTCCAAAGAAACAAATATAGTAAAAATTTCAAGAAAATAAGAAATAAAAATAAGAGTAATGGTGAAATGTCAAAAAGTAGGGGCATAATAAAAAGACCAATTTAACCCTTTAGCTAGTCTTATGAATATGGGAGGTTGGGAGATTTTGAGGTTCTAACTAGTAGATTACCGAGGTGTTTATGACATATGTATCAATGTATATACACTAATACTTTCAAAAACTTTTACACTATTATCAGTACTCCCTCCGGTCCAAAATAAGTGATTTTTTTGATGTTTTCACACAAATTAAGAAATTCACCTTTTAGCATTAATTAGCAATGAAATTGACCATATTAACCTTTACTATCTCACATAAACACTCCTAACACATATTCCAACACTATTTACTTCAAGAACAATGTAGGAAAAAAATAATTAATTCATTCTTGAAATCTGAAAAAATCACTTATTTTGGACCACAAGAAAAAGGCCAAAAAATCACTTATTTTGGACCGGAGAGAGTATAATTTAACATATTTAATTATATGTTTTTAAGTAACTAATTTCATCTATTATGAACAATTTGATAATGTAGAAGTAGGGATTAAAATGTGGAGTAGTGACATACCTCAATATTTATTTTCCCCTTACGAATGTCAAGATTGTCAGCGTAAACAGGTTGACCCCATTTCTGTTTCCAGTAGAACCCCGACGCAATGTCGGACCAGAATCCGGCTGGATCCTCAACTGACCTACCATATTTCTCACCATACTGTCACAAAATTATGATATGTCAATCCCAAAACATCAAAAAGCAAGTAAAATGTACTAATTGTGGCAAATTCAACAATGATTTCAGTAGTCAAATATTGATAGAATCATCAACTCGGAACTCACAACGACTGATATTAGATCAAATAAATGGAGAAAAAGATGAAGAAAGGGAACCTTTTGTATAGAAGAAACATGAGCCTGTCGAGAGAAATCTTCAGTTGGAAAGACGAGATTAACATCTTCAGATGCAAGAGCTTCCCCGAGGATGACAGAGTTCTTTGTTGAAGGAGCCATAGAAGAAGAATTGGATCCTTCAATAGTAATTGCTATGACTAATCAATAGATGTAGTGGCGTTTCAGCTTTGGTCAGGCCAAAAATAAAATGGCCCCTTATTGTATCTTGAATTAAAAGAGATCTGCACTCAAATATGGCAGGCTTAAAAAAAGATTTATGAGGGGAATGGGCATTGATTTGGAGTAAGTCAAACACATAAAAGAGCTTGATGAATAAGAAATGTTAGATGTCATATCTACTAATTAATCAGCAAATTAAATACTTAGCATATATGAGTGCACAAGGCACGATTTGGACAAGATGATTAGAGACATGAACTACGGAAAGAGTTGGGTTTTGCAGAATATGGAAGCAAATCTCTTTGAAATCTGCATAATATTATTACCAATACTTGCCCCTTAAAATACCTCTTATTTAGCTTTAGTAACTAATTCGTGATCAGGTTAATTGTATTTGCTGGAATTTGTTGGCATATTATTAATATTCATAACAAGGCTAGATTTAAAAGGTATTAAAAACAAAAAAAACATGTCTTTTGTTTGAGCCCTCTTGGTCATGAGGGAGGATGCTGAATGGTAGATCAATAATAGAACTTAATGCTTTCCTTTGTCTTTTTCTTTAATCTAGATCTATGTTGCTCGAATTCTAAAACAAATATTGTTGCACTCGTGTTTGATCCATTAAAAAAAAAACTTTTGGAGGATTTGAATGCTGAAGGTTCGAGCAACATAGATCTAGACCTCCACGGCTCCACCAACCCTCTCAATTTCGTCTAAAGAAAAATGAAAAAAAAAAGTTGTCTCAAATAGTATATTTATGTTAATAAATCATTTAAATATGTATAAATGTTAAATTTAAAACCCAGTTATTTGCACTTGAAATAGTTGTTCTAAAATCTAGAATCCATAAAATTACGATCCTGACTCCGCCTCTATGATTATGTCCATAGTAAAAAATCTAAAGTGGTAGAAATAGAAAGTTAAAAGTGTGCAAACTTCTCTTTGATCATAGATGTTACTGTGCAAACTTGTCTTTGATCAAAAGTGGAACAAGTTAAAAGAACAGATCATTGGTACAACAGGTACCCTGCAATTTAAAAGTGTAATTATCACTTACTTTTTCACTCATCACCTCTACTGTCGTCGATCTCCTCAATTCACTGCACAAATTAAAAACACATGTCATAGAAGATCTAAAATTAGAAAAAAGATATATCAACGGAGTTTAAATTAAAAAATAACAAAAGATATATCACGGAGTTTAATGGTCAAAAATAAAGTTTTAGTGGAGTAAAACTCAATGTGAAAAGTTCGAAAACTTCAACATGATAGTGTGAAAGAATTTGTACACTATAACTATAGGCATTCATAAATTTTGGATTAGTACAGTAGATTAAAATACATTTTAAAACTGTATATAAATGGTACCAGAAATTAAAATAGAAAATGAAGAAGTTGACCAAGAGTAATCATCTTGTTGATTTCTACGTGCGTGGCCGTAGCTTGTGATTGGGTCAACTAGACGTGCAAACTCTTCTACGAATATTTAATTAATTAGGATCAACTACACTCGTAGTATCTTCTTCTCATCTGTGTAAGAATATTTAGGATGAATTAATTTAATTTGCTCAAGTTCCAAACTTCACAACATATATGGCATTAATTAATTCGTCAAGTAGTTTCGAAAAGGGCTCCACATCTACAAGCAGGTGATGATCTATGCACATATTTATCATTATCAATTACAAAGAAGTATAGTTACAGTAGAATACAATGCTGCAATCATATTTCATCCGTATATGGAACTAATTAATTCCTTGTTATGCCTCTTCATGAATATGAACGGTCAGGATGATTGTTACTAATTAAAGAAACAAAATGATGATGGAAGATAGACTCTTTATGAAAACCGATTTATACAATGTTGTTTAACTTGTACTAGTAGGTTAATTATCATTTTAATCAGGTTATTGATGAATACTTAAATTAATTATATAAGTAATCTATTTGTGTAGATAATTTATAGGGAAAGGATTAAAATAAAATGCCCCTCAATTATGGAAAATAAAGTAATTTGCCTTTATTTTAAATTTAGTATTACACATGTTCTTATCATCCGTGGATTGGTTCAGATTTGTCCCTTAACTACGAAAAATAAAATAAATTTACCTTCAGCTTGAATTTGGTTCTAAATATGAATGAAGTGGCTCATATGTGCCCTCAAAAATAACAATTTTTTTTTTATCAACCCTTTATTTTAGAATCAAAAGTTTATTCGACTGCTATTTTTAAAACGAAAAAGGGCCAAAACTATCCCTATCATTTGCTAAATGGTTTATAAATACGCTTCGTCCATCTATTCGTTCAAAAAAATACACTCCGTCCATCTATCCATTCCAAAAAACACACGAAGTTAATTTTATTAACAAAAATACCCCCGCGACTAACGGCAGAACTGACGGAGTGTGTTATTTTGGACAAATAGATAGACGGAGAGTATTTATAAACCATTTAGCAAACGATAGGGATTATTGACCAAGAATCAAATATGGGTCTTATTTTTACCCATTTACCTGGTCCGACCCTATTTATTTGACCCGCCTAATTATTTTCTTTCTTTTTCTTTGCTTTTTTTTCCTCTCTTTTTCCTTATCACCCAGCACACCCACTCTCATCTCACAAAGAATTTTTAGCGTTTCTTTGTTGAAACAAATATTTTTTTGTGTTTGAAAATATGGCTTTGGCTTTACTTCATCTGCAATTCATGGCTCTTTGTCCTCCTGTTCTTCTTCTTATGAGCATCCCAAAGGTAACCCTTCACTCTCTTTTTTACCTTTTATAGATTCAATCTTTATCCTAGAATGTGTAATTTCAAGCTTTTTAGCACCTTGGTTTCAATTTTCTTGCGTGCTTGTATCAGTTATATGTAGTTATTTTTTCTCTGTTATTTCGTGGCTCTTTTGTCTTCTTATGAACAATCCAAAGATTTCCATTACTTGTCCCTTTCAAAGTTTCATATTTCTCCTAGATTTGATTGATATATTTGGACAATTTTAGCATTTGGGCTCAATTTTTTGTTTCAAATTTTTGGTTTGTTTTGATCCTTGTCTTCCTACTTAACAACCCAAATGTATCTGTTGATTTTTCATTTAAGAGTTTCAATACTTATCCTGAGTTTGATTGGAGAAATTTCATAATCTGGTTTGAATTTCGGGTTATTTGATTTTGGGTTTTATCTATTCTTTAATTAATGTGTTATTGTGTGTATGCAATGTCCCAATTGGAGAAGAAGAAAGGGGGAGATCAGATGAGTGGGAATGGGTGTGATAGATACTACCCATTTTTGTAAATGGGTCGGATAAGGTAAATGGGTTGAAATAATATCAATTTTTTGTTCCAGTCAAAGATTGCCACGTGGCCCAACTATCCCTATCGTTTGCTAAATGGTCTATAAATACCCTCCGTCCATCTATCCGTTCAAAAAAAAATACACTCCATCAGTTCTGCCGTTAGTCGCGGGGGTATTTTTGTTAATAGAATTAACTTCATGTGTTTTTTTGAACGGATAGATAAACGGAGTGTATTTTTTTGAACGAATAGATGGACGGAGCGTATTTATAAACCATTTAGCAAACGATAGGGATAGTTTTGGCCCTTTTCCGTTTCTAAAATAACAAGAGGAAGAACAAAAAGAAGAAAAGAAAAGATAAGAGAAAGAACGTGTAGAATTTTCTTTTAAAAAATGCACGGTAAAAGCAAATTTCATAATATATGTTGTTTTGCTCGACCATAACTAATACTCCCTCCGTTTCAATTTATGTGAACCCATTTGATTGGGAACGGAGTTTAAGAAAAGAGAGAAGGCTTTTGAACTTGTGGTGTAAAATGAGGCACATATTTTATGTGGCTATAAATCATTGCATAATAAATTTTTTCCAAATAAGGAAATATTTCTATTTAGCACGGATTAAAAAGGAAATTAGTTCACATAAATTGGAACAGAGGGAGTAGCTCTTATCTCTTCAGTTTCTGTCTTTGTGACCATCAATACTTTTTGTCTTTGCAATTGCAATTATATGAATAAAATAAAATTGATAGCTTATGAAATTTTGTTCTTTCCAGCATGAGAACAATTGTAAAAAAAGTTGGCAAGATCAAAACTTGTTGTTATATATATATATATATATATATATATATATATATATATATATATATATATATATATATATATATATATATATTATAGTGAGGTATAATAGGTGCTCTATTTAGTTATTGTGAAAATTTCAGGAGAGTAACGATTTTTTAAATAGGGGAAAGACATGAAGATGAAATAATTGGACATATTTCAGGTCTTTTAGTGTCACGACCCAAACTCCGTTAAAGGTCGTGATGGCGTTGGATACCACTGTCAGACTAGCCAACACTAAATAGTCAATTAAATTCTCTTTTTATATTTTTGAAATCATAAAGTTTTCTTCAATTGCACTAGTAACAGATGAACTTTATAAAATAAATAATAATGTCTTTCCGATTTCAACAATGACAATTCCATAATCACCCTAGAACCCGGTGTCACAAGTGCATGAGCAATCACTAGGAAATAAGATGAAGTACAATAACTGTCCGAAATACAAATTTGGACAGGAAGAAAATACAATACTCTAAAGGAGACTCTGCTGGTTGCGGGTCTTCTCGAGAGATGCATCTCACCCTAGTCTCCCTTTCAACCATGCCGTTGTGCCCACTAGGCCACTAGACATGCATGTGCCTGTGCAATAAAAATGCACAGCAAGTGTAGTATGAGTACGAAAATAATGCGTACCCAGTTAGTATCCAGTCTAACCTCGAAGAAGTAGTGACGAGAGGTTGGCTTCGACACTTACTAGTGGTCCAATAACATCAGGTACAGTAAGGAAGTAAATAATATGAAACAGAGTAAATATATGAAATAAACATGTATAAAATACGTGGTACAATTCCCCTCTTTAAAATTTTACTCAAGCTCTCAACTAGCAAGTTCCCTCCGTAACCGAAGCATATATATATATATATATATATATATAGAAAATTCCGAGGCGTATGGACCGATCCAACATAAAAGTAAACTGTGCACTGCCGAGGGTTGAACGGCGTGAACCATAGATGCATCTATTAACCTGCCGAGGCGATCGGCCCGCTCCCATGAGAGTTGTAGAAGAAAATACCCCGCTCGCGAATCATACGTGCAACGCGGTCAAATAAAAATTAAGGAGTTACCCCGCTCGCGAATCATACATGCGACACGGTCGAATATAGGTTTAAAGAATTACCCCACTCGCGGATCATACGTGCGACGCGATTACACATATATTTCTTAAGTTATTAAGGTATTCCACGATTCTCTTTAAATTACGAATCTCAAATGAAAGCTTTTAAGTCCCCAACCTTTCCTCAATTTCACCTCCTTTCAAAACATTTAATAAGTTAACTCAATATCGCTTCTTCTCAAGACAAGCAATAAACATAATGTAACAACAATATCAACAAGGCATGATGTAAGTCTAAAAATACCCGGACATAGGCACAGCTAGTAGCTACGTACGGACTCTCGTCACCTTGTGCGTACGTAGCCCCCACAAATAGAAGCACATAATAATTTAGTTCACCTTTGGGGTTAATTCCCTCTTACAAGGTTAGAAAGGAGACTTACCTTGCTCCGAAGTTCCATAACCGGCTTCCAAGCCCTTCCGACAACTCAAACCGACGCCCAATGCTCCAAAATTAGTCAATAATGATGCAAACTCATTAATATATACTCAAATACTCATTAAAATCCTATTTACAAAAATTCTCAACTTCGCTTGAAAGGTTGATAAAATCACCCTCGGGCCCACGTGCCCGGATTCCAAAAAATTTCGAAGAAAAACTTTGTCCATGACATCACGAACTCAAATATATAATTTATTCCTAATTCCATGTCCAATTTCGTGGTCAAAATCTAATTACCAATTTCTAGGTTTTTCGTCAAAACCCCAAATTTCCACTAATTTTCATGTTTAAATCTACGTAAACTCATGTATTTAACTCAAAATTGTAAAGAAAGAACTTACCCCAATATGATTGATGGAGATGGCACTCCAATGTGCTCCAAAATCGGCTCCCATGAGCGAAAATGAAATAGAGTCAAACCCTCGTTTTTAAAGAAAACACTGCCAGCCCCGATTTTCGCACTTGCGATCACTTTACCGCTTCTGCGATTCTGCAGGTGCGGCCCAATTACCGCTTTTGCGATCTATCCCCATGCTGTCCATTTCCGCTTCTGCGACTTCCTTTCCGCAGGCACAGTCTCGCTTCTGCGGCGAGATGACTGCATCTGCCGTCTCAGCACTTCCCCACCAAACCGCATATGCGCCCCTTTGGTCGCTTCTGCGGCTCCGCACCTGCGGGACCTACGGCCAAAACCTCGCAGGTGCGGTTACACCATATGACAGCAGGCTTAGAAATCTTCATAAGGCTGAATTCAATCCATTAACCACCCGGAATCCACCCGAGGCCCCCCAGGACCCCATCCAATCACACCGACCAGTTCCAAAACATATTGCAGACCTGCTCGAGGCTTCAAATCACATCAAACGCTAAAACCATTAATCGCACTCCAATTCAAGCTTAATGAACTTTAGAACTTCAAACTTTTACATTCGATGCCGGAACCTATCAAATCACGTCAGATTGACCTCAAATTTTACACACAAGTCACATTTGACATTACGGACCTACTCCAACTTCCGGAGTTAGAATCCGACCCCGATATCAAAAAGTTCACTTTCGGTCAAACTTCTAAAAAACCTTCAAATTTCTAACTTTCGCCAAACGACTCCAAAATGACATACGGACCTTCAAATCCACTTCCGGATGCGCTCCCAATAACGGGATCATCATACAGAGCTATTCTCAGACTTGGAATTTCAAACGGACATTGATAACATTGAAATGCACTTCAACCCAAATTTATGAAATTCTTCCAAAATGCTAACTTCCACAATAGGCGCCGAAACGTTCCCGGGTCATCCAAAACCCGATCCGAACATACGCCCAAGTCCGAAATCATCATAAGAACCTGCTGGAACCTTGACATCCCGATTCCGCCGTTTACTCTAAAATCCAATCTTAGTCAATTCTTCCAACTTAAAGCTTTCGTAATAAGAATTTTCATTCTAATTCAACTCCGAACTTTCCAAAATTCAATCTCGGCCACGCGTACAAGTCATAATACCTGAAGTGAAGCTGCTCGTGGCCTCAAACCGCCGTATGACGCGCTAGAGCTCAAAACGACCGGTCGGATCGTTACATTTAACCATCTTGGATATGTGAAAAAATAAGAAGTTGAAAATCCGTTAGTTTTGAGAGGAAAATATGAACCAGTTCACTTATGATAAGGACATATTTCGGACCGAAGTTAAACGGATGTAAATTATTCTATTTCCCATAGTTGAAAGGCAAACCTGAATCAACTACTAATAAGGGCATGTGTAAGACCAAATTTAAAATAAGGACAAATTTGCTCTATTTTCCGTAATTGAGGGACATTTTTGGTCCTTTTTCCTAATTTATATAACGTCAGTGATAAAACCTAATCCCTAGCAAAATGCCACTAAATTGCAAAAGAGGAGCACATATTAAACCACAAAGTCCCTTAAGCAAAACTTTTACGAACATGGTGAAAGGCATATATTTGTAGTGATTTGTGCAATTTGAGTAACGAGTCATGTAGGTGGAGTTAATTTTGTCACACAACACACAACTGGATGACATAAATACCAAAGTCAAATAATAGAGGTATGGACAGGGATATTGGTTAGGGCTTCCCTTAATAAATTCAGCAATTATTTTTTACTTTGAAATATCTATGGCATGATCTATTACTCCCTCCCTTTTAAATTATTTATCGTGTTTCTCTTTTATATATCCTTTATGAAACATTAATTAGGAGAGGTTTTAGACTATTTTACCTTTATTTATGTCTTAAGATATGATCTCTCTTCATTGAATATTTACTCTATTTATGTGCTATATCCATTTTCAAGAATAATTACTATTACGGGCAAAATAGGAAAAATATAATTTATTTTGTATTGAACTTCTAAAATAACAAATAATTTGAGACAACTATTTATAAAAATCACGACATATAATTTGAGACGAAGGGAGTATCACTAACTTACCCATCTTACGATATATTGTGCCTTTACGACATTACCAATAAATTTAAAACCAAGGTAAATCAAGTGGCTAGAAACCATTCTTAATCATTGATTGCATTGATTGACAAAGTAAAAAGTCCTTATATTATCAGGTTATTTTTACTTCGTTCTCTTTAATTTCAGTTGTCCATTTTTTACTTTGCATTCCTTTTAAGAAATGAATGAAGTATGTATTTTACAATTTTATCCATAATAGTGATAGTATTTCCAAAAGTCTTGAAAAACGATACGGGGAATGAGTAGTTAATGATAAGGGTAAAATAGAAGAAAAAGATTTTCTTTCTCTTCATTTGGGTGGACAAGTAAAAGTGAAAATTTATTTTTAGTATAGCGGACCAGTAAAAGCAAACGGAAAAAGTATTTATTTTAAGGGAAAAGGTCCGTATTTGCTCCTCTACTATGGAATATAGTTTACATTTGTCTCTCGTTATACTTTTCGTCCAGATCCACCCCTACTATTAAGAAATTATTCAGAATTTCCCTTAGCCCTAACGTGCCTCTACTGTGTCACCCAACCCCTCTATTAATTTGTCCATGTCAGCCGCTAAATCGGCAATTCCCCCTAAAATATTAGTTACCCAATCCCCCATATTGGTAGTAGCTCCAAATTCATCTAATACAACTTTGGAGCCCATTCGAGAAGAAAAGCAAAATAGAACAAGGCCTCAATGGAACACACGACTCTGAGGCAGCACTCAAGAGCACAATTTGGCTCAATTATCAGTATATATCAATACCCATTTTATGTTCTCAAGCTTTCTCACAAAATTTTCAATGGTGGTTTTTATTTTTTTTATTTTTTCAAATTTGTGAATACTAGTGTTATTCTTCCACTTTAAAACTCCATTTTGATTTTTTACTTGATTTCAGAAGGAAACAAGATAGAAATTTCAGGTTCTTGAGTGCTTTTCAAGCTGCGAAGTCGACGACCCAAAAATGGAGGTAAAGTTTGTTCGTCACTCAAATCCAAAAGTCAGTGTTTGATTCACGATCTTAGGTTCCAAGTGACAATATTTAGTCAGTTTCCTCCATAGATAATCAACAAATTGAATTGTCACCTTCAATTTTCTGACACCCAAAAAACACACCATACAGGGTTTCGAAATTTTCACCATAAGTTCTTCAAATGAGAAGAAGAATTCGATTCATGCTTCCAAATTCGACTCGTATGAATCTTCAAAAAAAAATCACAGATTCTTCAATGGATTTTGAGGTGGAGGGTTCGAGTTTTATGACAACATTGCTAGGGTTCTATAATATTTTTTATATATTTTTGTTGAGTAGGAGTTTGTTTTGAAGCAAACTCGAATAGATTCTGCTATGGTATTTTTGAGGATATTGAATACATTTGCAAACTCATGAGACGGATATTATTGGTGGATGCTGAAGAATATGAATGACTGATTCGATGTATCCAATGTTAGTGCTGAGTTTGAGAGGTGAGCTGTTAACGCGGTTTAGGAAAGAGAGCTTGGAGGTGAGTTGTTAATACTCCTTATTAAGAATCTAGGGAGTATTATTCTAGTGGGATATACTGATCTGACAGCTAAGATGGACAAATTAACAGAGGAGTTGGCTGCCACAGTGGAAGGACTCCAGGCCGATGGTTTAATGTCTTGAGTAGCTTCATATGATGTATTATAACTTGCGCAAATGGTTGGTTTCGGTTTTCGAGCGGTTCGGGATTGATTTGGAAGAGTGATTCTCCTTTTTGAAGCTTAAGTTGTAAGAGTTGACAAAAGTTTGACTTTTGTGTAAACGACTCTGGAATGGAGTTTTGATGGTTCCAATAGCTTCGTATGGTGATCTTGGACTTAGGCGTATGATCGGATTTGAATTTGGAGGTCCGTTGGTTAGTTTGGTGCTTTTTGGCGAAAGTTGAAGGTTTGGAAGGTTGAGAGGTTTGATCGAGAGTTGACTTTGTTGATATCGGGTTCGGATTTTGGTTCCGGAAGTTGGAATAGGAGTTGTTCCATTTGGTACTTGCATGCAAAATTTGAGGTCATTCCGCGTTGGTTTGATATGGTTCGGTATGTGTTTTGAAAGTTGAAAGTTCATTAGGCTTGAATTAGAGTGTGATTTGTAGTTTTGATATTGTTTAGTGTGATTTAAGGTCTCGAGTAGATCCGTGTTATATATTGGAGTTGGTTGATGTGATTGGACGGGGTCCCCGGGGTCCCGGGTGTGTTACGGATGGGCTATGAGCCGTTCCTTCATGATTTGGAGTTGCTGGTTTTCTGATGTTCTACAGTTCATCATGTTCGCGTAAGGACGTACGCGATCGCGAAGTGTATTTTGGGTGGCTGAGGATTTACTCATCGCGTTCGCAAGTTGGTCGTCGTGCTCGTGGAGCCTGGATGGGAGATGGTCAACGTGTTGGCGTCCCTTGTGTCACGACTGGATGGGAGATGCTCAACGCGTTGGCGTCCCTTGTGTCACGATCGTGTAGGTAGAGTTGGAGGGGCGCCAGTGGATTGGCCTTCACGTTCGCGTAGGCTAGTTGAGCTGAGGGGTCGCATTCGCGGGCTTCAGACTGCGTTCGTGGAGAAGGAATTTTATCGATTTAGATTGAGGTAAATATTCATGACCCTGATTTGGTTATATTTCATGATTTCATCCTTGTTTTTATTATTTAATTGATGATTTGAATTAGAGAAAATTGAGTATTTTAGAAAAACTTTTCTAAAACATAAATTGATGATTTGAAGGCCGATTTAGGGCCGGAATCGGATCATTTTGGTATGGTTGGACTCGTATCATAATGGATATTAAGAATTTGTGAGTTTTTCGAGTTCTGCGATGCGATCCCGAGGTTGACTTTTTGGTTTTCACTAAAGATCGAATCTTTATTATCCGGAATCAATTTCTATGGCTTTTATTTATGATATTAAGTTATTTTGGCTAGATTCGAGCCGTCCGGAGGTTGTTTCATATGGGAAGGGCTTCTTAAAGTATTGATTTAGCTTCATTGAGGTAAGTATCTTGCCTAACTTTGTGTGGGGAAACTACCCCGTAGGATTTGGATTAGTTGCATTATTTGAATTATGTGGAAGGCGTGTGCATGAGGTAACGAGTGTGTACGCGTGCTTATATGTGTAAATTGACCGGTTTAGGCTCGTAGGTCACTCATATGCAATTAATCGAAGTTGGTGTTTCATGTTATATCTTTCATTATTGAGGTTATTCATCCGTTTCAATGTGTTGCTGCAATTCTTGTGTTGATTTTTTTTCCCGTACTCTTGTGTTATTGTTGTCGTTATTGGTACTCATTGTTGTTGAGCTGTGGGATATATATGGTGGTGGTATTGGTATTGTTGTTGTCACGACCCCAAAATCCCACCTAAGGTAGTCGTGATGGCACCTACTCTCTAACACTAAGTAAGCCTAACATTCAATAACTTAACAGAAATAACGAAGAAAGATAATAAAATAATCCGATAAAGCTCATAAATACTCCAAAGTGGAACATCAACAACATATTCTAAAAAACCGGTGGAACTGAATCATAAGCTCTACAGAATGTTCTAAAATATCTAATATAATACTGTGTGATAATAGGATAAACAATAGTAAAAGAAAAGAATGAAGGCGACTCCGAGGCTTGCGAGCGTCGAACAGGTATACCTTGAAGTCTCCGGAAATAACTGTACGATCACTGGCGTGTGGCACGAGCAGATGTACCTGGATCTGCACAAAAATATGCAGAAGCGTAGTGTGAAAATACCACAACGATATCCAGTAAGTATCAAGCCTAAACTCGGTAGATTAGTAATGAGGCCAGGTCAAAACACCTACTATGATAAGAATAACTTAGCAAAATATAGTGTAGTCTAATAATGGGAAGCGAGGTAAATAGATGACAATAAGGCAATACAATTATGTAAGCTAATAACAGGATTTAAGGTAATAAAGACAATAAGAAATGAACACATGATGAGAACAACAAGTAATCAAGAACGGGCAAATACAAATAAGGCAAATGAGGAAAACAACAAGAACTGTTCAATCAACAAGCCTTTTCAACATAGAATATACAAGAAAAATCACTGCTGAACTACCACGCCTCATAATTTTGTTTCACAAATCATAATCACAATCTTTCCTTATATCGCCGCGTGATCCTTATATTTAGATTTTTGAATTTTTTTTCGAAATAGCTACACGCACTTTAGCCCCCTTATGTCGCCGCGTGGCTTTAAGTAATTTTCTTACTAGCAACACATCCATAAATCCGACCTTATGCCGCCTCATACATATTAAACCCGTATCCTTATACCGCCGCGTGCGTATCAATATCACAACACAATAATAATTCACATCACAAGTGCCCATATGCCATAACTTTCCAAAATCAGCAATATTAAAGTTACCATGGCATATAGCTCACGACTCAACCACAATGTAAACAAGAATCTCAATAATAACAAATTGAATGAGAATTACTCAACAAGGAGAGATACCTCAATAATCAACAACTTCAACCTCAATGTGATAGAGGCTTTATAACTTCAACTTCAATAACTCAAAATGAATATATTCGCACAAAAGATAACTTCCAATTCAATTGTATAACATAAGTTTAACAATGAAAAAGATAGTATGAAATAGCAACTACGTCTAAATGCATGAAAATAATTCAACACGAAGAGACATAATCGAATAATAACTTCAAATGAGAAAAACTCCACAATTAAAAAGGCACATGGCAATAAGAGAGATAACAACACCGATTAAGGCATATAAAAGCATGTTTGACAATAAAAGATAGAGCATGTGATAACATCATCAAGAAAGCATGTAAGAGCAATTTAACAATGGAAGATATAACATGATATTATAATTTCTAATTCAATACATGAAAGAGCCTAAGAGTCTAATCCGTGCAAAATACAACACATAAGCCTATGTACACACTCATCACCTCGTTTACACGTCTTTCACATAATTCAAATAACACAGATCAAACCAAGCCCTAAGGGGTATTTTCCCATCCCCCTACAAAGTTAGACAAGATAATTACCTCAATAAACTAAATCAATCCACTAATAAGTCTTTCCCGCAAATATCCAGCTTCGGACTGCTGAAATTTAGCCAAAATAACTCAGTACCATAAATACAAGCCATAGGAAGCAATTTTGAATAATAAAGTTTCAATCTTTAAAGAAAATCAAAAAGTCAACTCAAAAGTAAATCCCGGGCTCGCACCTCGTAACCAGACCAAACTTTTAAAATCCAAACACCCATTATGATACGAGTCTAATCATACCAAAATTATCTAATTCCGACCTCAAATCAACCTTCAAATCCTCAATTTATGGTTTCGGAAAGTTTTTATAAAACTCCCTAATTTTTCAAACTTAAATCACTAATTAAATGATAAAAATCATGATGGAACCATGATTAATGAGCAAAACTGAGTCAAAAACACTTACTCCAATCCAATCCTTGAAAATCCCCTCAAAATTCGCCAAAAATCGAGCTCTCTAACGCAAAATATGGAAAACAAAATAAACCCTCAATTCCACCATTTTTCTGCCCAACGATGTCCGCTTTTGCGGTTAAATTGCCGTATCTGCGACTCTGCATCTAGGAAAAATTCATCACAGATGCGGCTTCGACTTAAGCCTAGAACTTCCGCTTCTACGAACCCATACGCGCTTCTGCGCGTCCACTTCTGCGCAAAAATGATCGCACCTACGATCCTAAGCCAACAAACCAAACACCGCTTCTGCGGAAGAAATCCGAATCTGTGGTTGCGCACCTGTGCAAGATCATCCGCACCTGCGGACCCAGCTTCCTAGCCCAAATCTCGCATATGCGGCTCAGATGGCTCTTCTGCAGTGCTGCACCTCCGACCCAAATTGCGCAAGTGCGAATGCACCAGACTTCAGCACGCATAAAAATCCTCCAAGTCCAAAAAGAATCCGGATTCAATCTGTATCACACGTGGGGCTCCCGAGACCCCGTCCGGACATACCAAAAAGTTTTATAATACAACACAAACCTACTCGAGGCCTTAAATCACATCAAACAACATCAAATCTATGAATCACACCCCAACTCAAGTCTATTGAATAAATGAACATTTAACTTCTAAAACTAATGCCTAATCATATCAAACTAACTCCGAGTTACCTCAAATTTTGTAGGCAAGTCCCAAATGGCACAACGGACCTATACCAACTCCTGGAACCACAATCCGAACCCCGTATCAATAAAGTTAACCCTTGGTCAAACCTCACAACCTTCCAAACCTTCAACTTCCAACTTTCGCCAAAAAGCCTCAAACCAACCTACAGACCTCCAAATCAATCCGGACATATGCCTAAGTCCAAAATCACCATACGAAGCTATCAGATGTTAGTAATACTGTATTCAAAATCAAAAAAATCAGAGAAACAAACAAATTCAATAAACAAATGGTAAAATAATTCCGAGCCCACTGAATGCACAATGTGTCCTTAATGAATTTAATCCCCTCATTGTTGCCCAAGGTTATGGATTAATTCCTCCCAGAATAGAACGGAATAACTATTCTGTGATAGCGACACTACAAATCACAGAACTTCAGCGAACTCAACAAACGGAGCAAATCACACTTGACACTTACGTTTATTTGGAAAATAATGCGACAATGTAGATAAGTGGGGAAAAGTTTTCAGATTTTTCATATGTGAAAAATGAGGCCAAGCCTCTAATTTTATAGACAATGAAAGGGTGAGATGAAGAGGGGCAATCCAAGAGGTGCATTTCCCATTCAACCCATTAATAAAAATGCAACAATCCCCCACATGAATGGGGAATGGACATATATGAAAAAAACATGCATGAAAATACTGTGTGATTCGCAAGTAAGGATTAATTGCATCTGGATAAGTAGGTTTCCCTTTGAATGTTCTGTAGTGAACTTATGCCGGATATACTCGGTCAATCGGTAGATTTGATATCTTTAAACCGTCGAGCTTTGGTGTATACCTAGAGTAACAAAAGTCACACGACCTATCCTTAACCGTCTTTGGTTCTCACGGTTGTGTTCGTTTCAGCCATGAACACCGCCTGGTTTCATGAGTGCTTAGAGAATGGGCCTTTACTTTTATTCCCCTTAAAGCGGCTTACACTTCACACTCACATAGGTGATTTGTAAACGTGTAATCCTATAGACACACTATCTGGTCATATCCTGCCATACTTAGCAAATCATTAAAAAGCTTTAAGCTTTATTGACTCATCAAAAAGCCTTAATGCTTTACCTTGATTTCTGAACATTGTCTTCATCAAGAGAATGGGTTGAGTTATTTGACAATGTTGAACCGTCATTCATAACTTTGTTTGATCTCTTTCTAGCTCTTGGGATCTCCAGTCTGCTAGGTAGAGTTACCGCCGTGGTGACTTGTCCTAGGCCTTAGCCCCATTCCCTTCGATGAATTTTCAATTGGCTCTCTAGATAGGCATTTTGTAAGTGGATCCAACATTTATCTCTTGACTTTACTTAGTCAATCGTGATAACATCACTAGAGAATAGTTGTCTAATGTAATTGTGTCTCCGTTCGAATGTGACGAGATTTTCCGTTATACATAACGCTCCCTGCCCTGCCTATTACCGCTTGACTATCACAATGTATACATATGGAATATTTTTCGAGAAATTCCGGAGCCATTCAACTTCTTCACCGGCCTTGTCTAAGGCTATAAACTCAGCCTCCACTATATAGCGGTCAATGCACATTTGTTTAGACGATTTCCAAGACATCGCTCATCCACCGACTGTTTAGAATCGGTTTACGCGGTGATCTAATTTGCATCACTATACCCCTCTATTATCGTGGGATACTGTATTGTAAAGCATAATTTGGAGTATATTTCAAATACTTCAAAACTCGTTTCATTGTCATGAAAGTTCAATGCAAACTTTCTTATGTCGTAGACTAATACGTCTTGACTTTCGATTGCATATCAGATTATTGACTACGCTT